GCACCAGGTGCAGGGGGTGCCCAGGCCTCTGTCCAGGGTGTTTCCTGCTGCCGGGTTTGGACCTGCCTGTCGGGAGGTGCGCAGGGTCTCTCACTGCGGTAACAAAGCTGCTGGGTCTCTGCACAGGCCGGAGGGAGCCACGGGGCCCTGCGGCAGCCCTGGCCGCGCTCGGCAGGATTTGGGTTGGAGGGGAAATGTGATAGCGCAGCGATAGGTTTGGCTGCTGGCGATTAGATCAGCTGCGGCTTTGGGAGCAGCAGCAGCAGCGCGGGGCCCCACGCAGCCTCCCTGTGCCTCCATGTGCGGCCGCACCGGGCAGCCCCCGGCCTCCCGCGGGCCCCACGGCTGCCCCGGCCCCATGCTGGAGAGCGCGGCTGCTTCGATGCAGCAAGTGCTACCCGGGGCCCCTCGCTTGCGGTGCTGGGTGCAGCGAGAGCCAAAAAAAAGCGGAGAGAACCTCGCGGCTGAGGTGCCCAGAGCCCTGTCCTGGAGCAGCTCCCGTGCTGGTGGTGGTGGCCGATGCCACCCTCAGCCCGGCCCCTCCTGCCACCCTGGCAAATCTGAGCTGCGTTTGCAAAGTTTCCAGGTGCCACTTCCTCCCTTGCAAACTCGCCCTGCAATTTTGGGTGAGTTTCCTGGTTTGCTGGCCGTGGCACCAGGACGAACTCGCCCGTTGCTCAGAAACGCCCGAGCTGGAGCAGCACTGGCCAAGCCGGCCCTGCGCGCGCAGCTGCCCGCCCGCCCTGCCCTGCGCCGCCGGCTCCACGCGCTGCAGGACACGACGTTTCTCACGCCCTTCCCGCAGCCGCGTGATGCCGCAGGGCTGTTTCGCAGCCACCCCAGCAGCCGCTTGTGCCCTTGGGGTGCCCTGGCTGGCCGGGGACATGCGGCCGGAGCTGCCCGCGCTCACTGCCCCACTCAGGGTCCCTCCGGCCACTGCGGGGAGGCCTGGCCAGGATGAGCGGCGCTGGGAGCCTCTTGATGCCGTCACGGGGCTGCGGAGCCAGGCGGGGACTGCGGGGTCAACGTGGATACGGTAGCGGCAGATGGAGGCTCTGTACTCGGTCGGCCCTGTCCTGCTGGGCGGCAGAGGCTCCGTTGCCGTCACTCTCCACCCCGCGATGGGCGGGCAGGCGCACCCTGTCATTACACCCGCTGCAGCTGCCAGCGCTGCCCGATTGGGATGGGATGGGATGGGATGGGATGGGATGGGATGGGATGGGATGGGATGGGATGGGATGGGATGGGATGGGATGAGGTGGCAGGGCTGGGAGCCATGGGGCTGGGGCACTGTGTGCCCATGGGACAGGGATAGTGAGCGGAGCTGCCACAACTGGGACAGGCTCCACGCACAGGGCTGGGAAGCACCAGCGGAGCGCCCGGATCCTGCTCTCCAGGGAGGCTCTGAGGCCGGCTGCTGAGCGCGGCTCCCCCCGCGCGGGGGGACATTCCTGAGCGCAGCCCCCGGCCCTTGCCCAGACCCCTCCCCAGCCGGGCCCTGCGTGGCGCCAGGACGCCGGGAAAAGCCCCGGCGGCAGCGGCAGCTGCAGCCGCTTCCTCCCGGAGCAGGGGAAGCTGCGGGGGCCGCGCGGGGGGCACCGGAGCCCCCGGCCCCGCAGGCTCTGAGGAGCCGGGACACAAAGCAGAGGCAGGAGGGAGGATGGGAGCTCTGGGGCCCCGGAGCCGCTGGGGGCTCCGTTCGGGAGCTCCCAGAGCCCCCCGGCTTTGCCAGGGGCGAAGGTAGCGCGTCCAGGGCGGGCAGGGGTCGCGGGACGTTTGGTGGCCACTGGGGTCCCCGCGGGCCGGGCGCCCAGGCCCCACCGTCGCGCACCCAGCCCGCGGCGCTGGCAGCCGCCGCAGCTCCGGGTGTTGTCCTAACCGGGGCCGCCGTGGGAACCTGGCGGGGCGCCACCTCATTGTGCTCTGGGCCGCTGGCACAGCCGGCGCGGAGCGCGGCGGGCAGCACTTCCCCCCGCGCCGCTCAGCCCCACGCGCCCCACGGCGGCCCCGGGAGACAGCACTGCTCCCGGCCGCCTCGCGATGCCCTCGGGGCCCCAAAGCCACCCGGCCACGGGGAGGCCTCCCCGCTCACGCCCTCCAGCTGCTCCGGCCCCTCGCTCGGCACCCGCACGGGCCAAGCGGCTCTGGGAAAAACGGGCAGCCTCTCCACGCAGCTCCACCGCAAGGTGCCCGCGAGGTGCCCGGGTCCCACTTGCCCCTCTGGGACCAGCTGCCAGCGGGGATTTTCCCAGAGCAGCTCCCTGCTCCCAGCGCAGGGACAGGGAGGCGTGGGCGGCAGGAAGAGCAGCGTTTTCCAGCATTGGAAACCAAGAGGAAAAAGGCTGCAGGATGGAACGACTAACGCGGCGCGGGTTAATCATTACAGCCACGCTCCCCCCAGAGAAGGAAGTCACATGGATATGGCCACCAAGACACCCAAGGGCAACGTGGCCCAAGGACAGCATGGCCCAAGGACGCGGCCGGGCTGGCAGCGCCTCCGCAGTCTTCCCAGGCCTGCAGGCGGCCCCGTGCGGTGCTCGGCCCCACGGGATCCCACCGAGGCTCCCGGCTGCCCCTGACTTCCTGCTCGTCCCCCCTGGACGAGCCCATGGGAAGCCTGGGGTCCCACATGCCCCAGCGCCCAACGTGGGCCCGGGGTTGTAGTGGGAGGGTGGGCAGGCAGGATGCAGCGCTCCCGGCTCGGAGCAACAGTGTCCCTATCCGGGAATCCCAGAGTCAGGGCTTGTCTTTTCCACATGGAGGAGAGGTCCGACTGTCCCTTGGCTCCGGGTGGGGCTGCGGAAACACCCGTGGCCGAGCAGAGCGAGGGGATCCGGTCCTGGGAGCCCCAGCCCGGCCCTTCTCGGAAATGATCCCTATGGATGCCTCACTTCCCGGGCAGGCCCAGCCCGGCTCCTGCAGCAGACATGAGTTTGGAGCAAGTCCTGGGTGGGAAGGGATGCTGGCAGCTCCCACCCCGCTGTTCCAGCATGTCCCGGCAGCCCTTCCCACTACTCCTGCGCCCGGAGACAGCCCCGGCCGGCAGCCCCCCCAGCTCTGGCTTCGACTCCGTCCCCCCCGGCTGCTCTGCCCTGACACCCGGCACCGGGGCAGGGGCTGGATCCAGCACCGTCCGTGACACCCCTGGGCACCCAGGACACAGCAGGGAGAGGCCGGGGCCGCTGCTCCCAGGGCCGGAGCGCAGGGTGCCCCAGCGGGAGAGCCGGGAGCCGCCGGCAGGGAAGAGCGTCGCCTCCGTGCGCACGTCCGCCCTGCCGAGCGGGGAGCCGGAGACGCTCCCGGCGTCAGGAGCGACGGCTCCGGGTCCCGCCCTGGGCAGCGGAGCCGGCAGCCACAAGCCAGGGCGGGTGGATAAGGCAGCTCCACACATGATCCTCTGGATCATCCCTGTGGATCACCGGCGGTGCCGGGAGCGGAGAGGGGCAGGATCGCGCGGCGTCAGCCCTGCCGCCCCCTCCGCAGCCCCCGCCGGAGCCGCCGGGAGGCGGTGGGAAGAGCTGCCGCGAGGCCGCTGACGGAGACACTTTTTTCCCATCCTAAAAATAGCAGCTGGCCGTTTCCCCAGCTTCCCGGCCGCGCCAACGCTCTTCCATTAGACAAAAAAAAACAAGGCACCTTCCGTCGGAAAGAGAGCGGCTGCGTGTGCGAGAGCAGCGCGCAGAGCCGCAAATAGAACTCGGGAGCGAGGAGAACGGGCGAGCGGAAGCGGGGCCGCGCGGCCCCCGTTATTCCCGAGACATTTTAATTAGCACTTGGTGACTTTGAGGCTTTGCTTATGCACCGTGTAAGGCGTGACCTTTAAGGGGAAAAAATAGGGGAAAATAGAGAAAAAAACGAGAGAGGGAAGGGGAGAAAAACGCACTGGAGCCGCCCAGAAACGAGGAAGTCGGCTCAGGCTCCAACAGGCTTCAGCGTCAGGCGCTCAGAGGCTTTCAGTAAGAATCAGAGTGCGAAAGCTAGCACCACAGGCACTATTTTTGATCATTTGTGGGGGGAGGCAGAGCGCGGCGGGGAGCGGAGGGGGTGGAGGCGGCAGCCGAGATCACATCCTGGGTGGCAGTGCCAAAAATAACCGTGTCCGCTGCGCCTGGGAGCCGGCGCCGCTGCCACGAGCGAATCCCGGCGTGTCCCGGGCGCGAGAGCAGAGCGGGAGGGAGCCTGGCATCCCCGGGGAGCACGGCTCGAGGCGCCGCGCGGCAGGTGGTGCCGCTGCAGGACACGCGTCCCGGCTGCCCCCGGCAGTGGGGCCGGCCCCGCGCTCCGTCCCGGCGCCGCTGCCACGATGCGCGTGGGCACCCGGGGAGACCGTGGGACTCGCAGGTCTGCAGCAGGGACCCGCGGCAGCTCCCACGCCCTCCTCGACAGGAGGCTAAAGGGGACCCCGGCCAGCCTTGTTAGAGAGGCCAGGGAGCTCCCGCAGATCCCTGCAGTAAGGAACCGGCACCTTCCAAGGAGCAAAAGCACTAGCCACCCCTCCAGAAATACCCCAACTCAGAAAAAAACTCCCACCAAGAAGGGCAGCTCCTTCCCCGGCTGCACCGGCACCTCCGAGGAGCAGGGGGAGCTTCCCCCTTGCTCCGCACAGCGGAGGTGGCTCCGGCGACGCGGCAGAGCCCGAGCAGCTGCCGTCGGCTGCAGGAAGCGCCGCAGAGCGCGGAGCTGGTGCCGACTCCTGCGGCGAGGAGCGCGGCCGAGCAGGAGCTCGGCGGCTCCCCTGCAGGCCGGCCGAGCTGCGGCCCCGCGGGCACCTCCCCAGCGCCGCAATCCTGCTGCCCGGGGGGATTATTGGAGGTGTAGGCGGCCGGGAGCAAGAGCAGGGGGTTCTAAACCTGTTGGAGGAGCCCGGGCCACGTCTCACAGGGCAGCAGGGGAGCCGCGGGGCCCGCAGGGCCTGGCAGGGACAGGCGCTGCCCCGGGCTGCTGGCCGCCAGCACAGGCTGCAATTTGCTGCAGCAGAAGAAGGGTACACGCTACAAGGCAGGACTGCATTTCCTTTTAATTGATCAGAGCGTTTTCTCCGCCTCCATTTGTCCCGCACCATCTGTACAAACGGGGGAAGCCAGGACAAGCAGGACAGCCTGGGGGTTCTTTACATCAACAGTGGGATTCCTGCAACACAGAAGCAGAGTCGTTTAGTGTGCAGGGGACCAGGGAGAGGAGTGGATCCCGATCCGAGGCTCTGGCCCTCGCCAAGGTTGTTAAACTGCTGCCTAGCGCGTCAACAAGAGGCTCGGGCTCGCTCAGACCCAACCTACGCGGGCGAAAGAGATGAGGGAGATAACGGGGAGCTGCCCTGCTGCTCCAGCTGCGCAGAGGCCACCTGTGAGGCTGCGGTGACTCACCTGCCGAGCGCCGCGGGGCGGCTCTCCTGCCTGCAGCGAGTGGAAAGAGGAGGGATGAGGCACAGGGAACATGCGCCACGAGGAAAGCAGCCAGGCCCGGCCTTCCCTCCCCGGAGACGGGAGCCCTTTGTTGTTAATAGAGGGGAGTTATGTGGAACAGAGGCCACGGAGCAGCTTCCCACGGGGGCCCCAGGCGCCCGGCGGGCCCCGCTGCGTGTCCCAATGGGGAGCTGGGAGCAGCACCAGCCCCTGGGCGGGCTCGGGGCCGCGTCCCAGCGTCAGGGTAACCCGGAGGCACCGGCGCCGCGCGGCACCGGTCCCTGCTGCCATCTAGCGGCGCCGGGGCGGCTCCGAGCAGGGTCCCCGCAGCCCCCGGGCCAGCGGCTGAACACAGAGGGGGCAGCCCCACTGTCCCCGTCCCCTAGAGCCCAGGCACAATCCCAGCCCTGAGGTGGCCTGGCTGCTCCGAGAGGAGGCTCAGAGGAGGCTCCCTGCAGGCAGCAGAGCACCGGGACTCGGCTCCAGAGCAGAGCTGGAAATGTCGGCCAAGACACACAGGGGCGACACGTACCCTAGTTACTCCAGGGCTTTCACCAGAGCTTCATTGGCTTCTACTTTAATCTGGGCTTCTGCTTTAGCTGCTTCATCAGACGCTGCAGCCATCTCTGAAACAGCCTTCTCCAGGTTGGACTTTGCAGTCTGCACAGGGAGCACAAGGAATGTGGCAGCGAGACCAGCAGAGCGCGACTTGTCCTGCACTCCCAGCCCCCCTCGCGGCCCTGCCCTCCCTGCAGCAGTTGGCCCCACGCACAGGGCTCAGCAGGCGCCCGTTTACAAGGCTGAGCTGCCAACAGGGCTTTATGAACAGGCCCTGCTCCGCAAAGTCTGGTCCTGAGACTAAGGGCATGGAAGGGGCAAGACCAGCATCTATCCACGAAGGGGCCGGGAGGCTCGGCCACCCCACGGTTTCCTTTCCCGCAGCCTGAGGAGCTTCTGCTCCTGATCTGAGGGCGATGGGAAGCTCGGGGTGCAGCCCCTGCCCCTGTCCCCGCGGCCGCGGGGAGCTCCCGACACAAGCGCCCCAGTTAGAGCAGCGGGAAGGAGCCGCCGTGCGCGGCGGGTACTCACGGCCAGGTCCAGCATGTCCATGGTGACGGCCTCCTCCGCCAGCACCTGCACCGTGGAGTCGGCGTGCACGGTGACGGAGCCGCTGCTCACTGCAAGGGCACGGGGGGCACGTGAGGACGGGCAGCGCCGTCCGGATCCCGGGATGCTCCTGGATCCCTTGGCTGGAGCGAATCCCCAGAGCCCTCCAGGAGCCCTGAGCGAGCGCCCAGGCCCTCAGGAGCCCCCGCACGGAGAGAGGAGCCGCCCCGTGTGCCAGGCCACCGGCCCCGGAGCCGCTGTCCCCAGACCGAGTCCTTGTCCCGCGGCCTCCGGGGCAGCCACCGCCGCCCCGGCCGGGCTGGGGGCACCCGGGCGGCCCGCAGGCCGCAGGGCCCGGCCCGGGACGCGGCGGCCCCCCCGCCTTACCGAAGTACTTGGTGGCCGAGCCGTCCTCGGCGTGGACGGTCACCACGCCCGGCCTGAGCACCTGCAGCGTGGGCACGTGCGAGGCCAGGATGCCGAAGGCGCCGGTCTGCGTGGGCACGTCCACCTGCTTCACGCTGGCGCCGTTGTAGAAGACCTGCACGGGGAGCGCGGGTGTCACGGGGAGCGCGCGGCGCGCGGGCCGGGGGGCGCGGGGCGCCGCTACCTGCGTGGGCGAGGCGAAGGTGAAGGCCATGTGCGCGGGCGCGGCGGGCTCGGCGTAGCCGCGGGCTCGGGGCAGCCCGCGGGCCGCGAGGCGCGGGAGGCGGCGGGCGGCGAACATGGCGGCCGGGGCGACGCCAAGGGCGAGCGGCGGCGGCGGCGCGCGCGGGGCACGCCGGGAGCGCCCGCGACTACAGCTCCCGGCGTGCACCGCGGCGCCGCCCACTGTGCGGGCGGGGGGCGACGTCTGCCGCACTACGAGCCCCAGGGTGCAGAGGGGGCGGGGGTGACGTCAACGTGACGTTGAGCCGCGCCGCGCGCGGGGGCAGCTGGGAGATGTAGTCCCGGTGTTCGCCGCGGGGCCGCCGCGTCCCTCGAGGGGACGGGACCGGGGTGGGGGGGCGCTGCGGGCAGCGGGGGCGGCGCGGGGTCCCCCGAGGCCGGGCCGGGGCCTCCGGCCGCGCCGCCCCCACAGCCCGCCCAGCCCGCCCAGCCCCCCGGTCCCGGACGGGTCCCCCTTCCGCTGCGAGGGGCCGGGGGGCAGCGCCCCCGAATCCGGCCCCGGGCCCCGGGATGCGCAGCCGGGCAGCGGGGCTGCGCTCTGCCCCACGGCTGCACCAGGACACGAGGGACCGTGGGGCACGGGGGGGAGGCGCCCTGGGGAGCGAGGGGAGCAGCGGACAGCGCTGTGGGGCGGGGGGCGCCCGTGGGGCAGCTCCTGTGGGGCTGCGGGCACGGAGGGGCGCGGGGGCGGACGGGGCCACGCGGGGCCGTGGGGCCGGGCCGGGCGGCGGCGGCCCCGCATCCCCACGTCACGTCCCGCCGCGCGGGGGCGGCTCCGCTTCATTCATAACGGCGGGGCCGCCCGGGCGGAGCGCGGCGCGGGAGGCGCGAGCCGGCCCAGGTGAGTGCGCGGCCCTGGCGACAGCGCTATCGCGACAGCGCTATCGCGACAGCGGGGCCGCACCGGCACTGCCCGCCGGCCCTCAGCCCCGGCGACCCCTGCCCCACAGCCCGCGCTGCGGCCCCGGCTGCAGCCTCCCCGCAGCCCCCGCCTCGTGTCCCCCGGCTGTGACCCTGCCCCAAGTCGTCTCCTCCTCATCCCTGCCCCACAGATTCTCCTGCTCTCCCTCCTCCTGCATCCCTGTCCCACATCATCCCTTCCCTGCATCCCTGTCCCGTGTCATTCCCTCCCTGCATCCCCATCTTTCCCCATCCACATACTCTCGTGCATCGCTGCCCCTCATCGCCTCCCCACATCCCTGTCCTGTGTCCCCGCCTGCCCCGCAGCCTTGGCTCTGTCGTGACCCCCGTTGTCCCACCAGGCAGCAGGACGGGGCGTTTCGGGGGGTTGCAGCCCATGCCGGGAGTGGGGATCGAGCTGCTCACTGAGCCCGGGCACACCGGGGGCATGAGCTGCGCGCCCCCGCGCCTGTCCCCGAGGCGGCGGCGTGGGGACTGTCCCCTCTGCGCGGTGCCCAGACAATGGCCGGTCTGTTCCCGCCGGGTCGCCATGGAGACCGAATTCCTCGGGGATGGGTGAACAGGCCCCACATTCTTCCCCGCGCCCCCGGCTCCACCGTCCTCGCCCTCCCGGAGCTCCGGGGGCACTGGCTGCTCCGCAGGACCCCAGGCTGGGCCGGCCCATGGTGTCCCTGCCAGCCCTGCGCCATGGCTGGGACGAGGATGATGATGGTGATGATGATAATGATAATGATGATGATGATGAGGGACTCCTGTGTTGCTCCCATGTGCGGGGCTGGGCGATATTGCGTCGCGGCCTCCACCATCACCCTGCTCGGGCACCAGCTTCATTCACTCTTTTCCCTGACCTGATTTCGGGAGGTTTTCGGTGCCCCCACGGCCGCACAAGGACAGGGGAGTCGCCTGCCCAGCCCTGTGGCCACGGGGGCAGTCCCAAGGCTCATGCGGTGCTCGGGACACTCGGACAGGGACATGGGGACCCGCAGCGCCAGGTGGGGCTCGGGAGGAAGAGGAGGCTGCAGCCTCAGGCACAGGGGGCTAAGGGTGGGCACAGAAGCGCCATCTGCCCGTCCGTCTGTCCCTGCCACTCCTGCTGCTCAGGGGCTCGGCCCTTCCCAGGGCCCCGCTCATCCTCGCAGTCCCATCGCCTCCCACAGGGCCGGGACCCAGGGACCGCCGGCCTCGGAGCAGCCGCGGGACTGACTCAGCCACCAGCCACCACCGGCACAACACCCCTGTGCCCCCCTGCAGCGTGCCAGGGGAGCGGAGGGTCCTGCTGCCCGTGCCCCCCCCCGGGGATGCTGCTCCCGCAGTGGGGCTGGGGACCGGGGCTTGGGGCTGGGCAGGAGCCTGCCCGGTGCCCAGGTCCTGTGAGGAGGGAGCGGGAGGGGGCGGCCCCTACCCCCTGCCGCCCCCCCCTCCATCCGCTCTATCCTCCCTCCATCCTATCACACCTTCCCTCCATTCGCATCCCACCTCCCTTCCTTCCCCATCCCACCTCCCCTGCATTCCTCCGCCATCCCCATCCCACCTCCCCGCCGCCCCCAACCCACCTTCCCTCCTCCCCCTGACCACACCCTCGTCCCTCCCTCCCTCCATCCCACCAGGCCTCCATCCTTCCCTCCCTCCCTCCATCCCTCCTGACCACACCCTCCCTCCATCCCTCCCTCCCTCCTCCATCCCTCATCCCGGTGCCTCCCGGCAGCTCCGCACCGCGGTGCCGGCAGGGCCCGGCGCCCCCGGAGCCGCCGCCGCCGCTTTGTCCCCGCCGCGCGGCGGACGCGCCCGGACCATGAGCGATGACCCGACGCCCTGGGACAACGCGACCGAGAGCAGCACGGTGAGCGGCCGGGGTCCCGGGACGGCGCCGCGGGCACGGGGACGGGGCTGCAGGAAGGAGATGGGGCTGGGACCCCGGCCGCGCGTGGGGCTGAGTTTGGGGTCTGTGCTTGCACCGTGGCCGTGGAGATGGGGACCGTGCTTTGGATGTGGGGCCGTGGTGACAGGGATGGGTTTAGGAGCCATCCCTGTCCGTGCGCGGGATGTGGCCGTGGGAATGGGAAGGGGGTCTCTGCCCAGGACATGGGCAGAGGGATGGGGTCCGTGCCCAGGAGGTGGCAGCGGCCTCCTGGTCCCGCTGGCATCCGGAGCAGGTGGCAGCGGGGCTGGGGGATGCAGGAAAAACGCCCTGGGTGCTGCCCAGGCTGCCAGGTCCACCCGCGTGTTCCAGCGGGGGTGGCGGCTCCGTCCCCGGGCCTCGGCGAGGGACAGAGCCCGGGGGCCGCGGAGAGGGCCGGGCAGGGGGCGGGCAGGGCCGGGCAGGGCCGGGCCGGGCAGGGGGTGGGCAGG